ATTTTTTTTTTTTTTAAGAAGTTACAAAGGTTGCCCGTAGAAGTAAATTATCACAAGCGCTAAAAACTATTATAAATTTTAACTTTACCCTACCGTCTTGAAGTGTGGGTTCTTTCGTGGAAGAAAGGCATCGCGGACCGCGGGGAACACAATTTGTCTTTGGTTCTAGTCTAACTACGCAGCAGACAGTATCAAATTGATTTACCAAATTTCGCTTTGAACTCACAATTTATTCACGCAGTCGCCCAGAATCAAAGGCCAGTTAGTTGAGTCTGATGGATTATGGATTATCATTAAAGTTTGTGTATTAGGAAACAAACAAATATTAACTCATTTAGTTGAAATCAGGAAACTGAAAAAGCTAGATAAGTAGATTCCCCATGAACTGGCGAAACTTGTTTGCTGATGCTTTCTCGTCACAAATCTGAACTAGGTTTGAATCGAATAATCACTTGTGAGTATAACTGAGGATACAATATGACAATCGCAAATTTTCAGCGCGGTGGTTAGGCAATGATGAATCACCAAAACGTACTCCAAAGCACAGTAGCGCAGGTATGGTCCTTTACGATTTCATGAAACCGGGTGAAACCGCCGATTATAGCAGAAAAAAGGAGGAAAACAGCCCGGATTGATCAACAGATCGACTCATATCTTATTGCGATATAAAGCCTGAGCACACACTGCGCTAATGGCCGTGACAAAACTAAAGGAATTGGACTTGGAACTTTGTTATGGCTCAGACTCCCCATATTCCATGTTCGCCGGTTCTAGCTCACCCACCTAAGTAAGAAAAAACGCTTTTCTTTGAAGATTCCACATTGTTCATCAACGTAGGCCTCTTGAAGAATGCGACAGACAGTGCAACGATTATCTAACATTTCGATACCTTATTATTCATGCCCTGATTTTTCAAGACCCCTAAAATAGGCCTTAGTGGCCGCAATAAACTTATCATTTCTGGCAAATGTTTCTTCCTGGAGTAAATACTTTTGAAACCTGTTAAAGGACTTAGAGGGCTTGACCTGAAGAATACGCTAAACGGGCCAATTCATGCAATTCCCATTCTTACCGGTTTCGTTAGTAACATATAATGTGTTGTTTTTTCTGATATGGGCAGCAAACCCGGGTCAGCTTTCTTCTTGGCGAAACATGCTCCTTTGATATGTTCATAGTCTCTGCTGTCTCTTTAACCTTAATACACAGATCATCCACTACCATATGCTAAACAATCATCTCATTCTAATGACAGCCAACTAACGATGAAGCGGCCAAAATGAACGGAAAGTTTTGATGATTGCTTGTCATGATTCAGATGATAATCTTTGAGCTGCGCTAAGTAGTTAAGAATAACAGCAACGTAATCACTTGGTCACTTCAAGTGATGCATTCAAAAGCGATTTGGGAATGACTGCTTTCCGTTTTTTTTTTTATCCCCTTGTATCATTGTGTGTTCACTGTGGCTAAAAGTTTTCTTCAAAAGAAAAGTTAAAAATTACTTTGTTTGGCCTTTTTGCCTCCGTCAAGTTAGTAGGTAGATGAATAGATAGATGGATAGGAAGGTAGGCAGTCATAAAAACCTTTTGAAGTGATAGTCTAATGCGTTTTTAATAATACCCGCCTGCGCTTGCTTAAAATGTCTAAATATACGCACGATAGATAACTATCGCTTCGGGCCGCAACTATCTGAAGCAACAATGTATTCGAATAGTTGATGTAATTGGGACGCCATACCGTATAAGATTAAATAATTTCTTATACACTTTATAGACCTTCGCATCCGAAAGCTAAATATTTTGATTATAAAAATTACACTAAGCAACGACTCTCCTCATTGTTATTGTTATTGCGTTTCATAAAATTAAGTCAAGGGGAGTTGTTTGTATGTAATTGTAAATGTAAAGGAAAAGTTTCCAATCGTTAATTGTCGATCCTATCAACGTGAATATATTCACGTGTAAAGAAAGATATTGTTTCAATGGCTACTATGTTAGTGTAAGTAAAATGTATTGGAAGAAGACTGCAGAAGACTGCTCTCTCTCGAGAGAGAGAGCGTAGGTAAACTGTTCTTCATTTGAAGGTACTACCGTTAAACTGTAATTGACCTTTGCATTCCGCCATTTGCTTGACTCTTCCTGCTCTGGATCCAAAGAGAAGTGTCAAATGCTTAAGTACGCGAACACTCCTAGAAAAGTTGCAAAGACGTCATGTCAGTTGATTATGTAAAGTGTCAGCATTCTTTTCCTTAATACCAGATGATGTTCCCTGTGCGTGTAGCAAGGTGATGATAGAGATTGGCCGCTGCTTAGTGGATGTGGGTCCAATCAGTAAGTGTTATGCCATTACCGGCTGGGCATACACTGTAGTTAACAACAAGCTTGGTATTTCGCACTTGATATTCGAACATGCGAACCTGCGAACACTGGAATAGTCAAAAAAAGCCGACCGTGAATTTGATTGCTTGGTATCCTTTTTTAAGAAGATGTCTAAGATCCCGTTATTATGGTGCGATCACAATTGAAAGCAATTCTATTAACTGCTAAACGCATCGAAGTTAGTGAATAATTAAGGAAGACGTGTGGTGTCACGGGAAACGATTTCTTTTGCGTTATTAGGATTTGTCTTCAAATTGCTAGAAATGTTGAACAGCCTTTTAAATGAACACAACATTGTTCTCACGTTTTAATCAATGTATTTTACTTTACTTTGGTGTAAGCTATAGTGAGTGCTTAGTCGGTAAAGGCATAACACTTCCCGACTAGGCTGCAACCATAATCTCTCTACATCTTTTTCTTTAATGACGTCTTTCTGATCGTCACGAATGATGGTTGGTCGGAATGATTGACCATTGAGCGCACACTCACTAGACTACAGCTCCCAATAACCTTTGTCTTTCCTCACTTCTTTCCGAACGTTATCATGCTACACGCAAAGAATATATTTTCTGACTGACCGGTCATCGAAGAACGTAAAATAAAGAGACAATAAAATGGACTGGTGACTAACTCGCTCGATACTAAAAAACCATGCCCTTCAAATTGGAAACCATTTTTGTAATATATTAGAAAGGGAATGTAATATATATGGGTGGTGGTAGAAAAGTGGGCGGAGTATTACTTTTTCGGGTGTGAAAATTGGTTTTTGAGAAAATCTCATAAATTCTGATTATTTCTTGATCAAACTATGCACATACATATATGCATGCCATACATTGAGGACAAATGTCTTGGAATCTAAAAGTGAAATATTTAAATGCTGATTGTAGTTGTTTTTTAAATGCAATGACAAAAACTTGAGCAAGTTCACTTGTTACAAAAAAAAAAGCAAAAAAAAAAAAAATAATAAAAAAATAAAAAAAAAACCAAAACAATGTATGCACTTGCACTTGCTTAAGTAGATGCACACACACACATATATATAAACACACTGTATATGAGTATTTGTTGCAACATTTGCTGCGTGACAAAATGCCATTTTTTGAAGTGATTAAACTGTGAGTGACTGACTGGGTTACTGAGTGAATGAGTGACTAACTAAATTGCAAGCCTGCATATATGTATAAATAAACACATGCATGCATGTATAAATATGTGTATGTGTGTGTGTGTGTGTGTGTCTGTGTATATGTATGCGTGTGTGTGCATATATATATAGTAAGAATTTAAAATGTATTCAAAAGAGTCAACAGGTATCAACTCAAGAAACCAAAAATTAAATTTAAAACAAAAAACCATTTAGAATAAATAAAAGCAACAACAAAAACTATATGAAAAAACAAAAAAAGAAACATGAAATCATGCAAAACTGAAACTATGTTTGTGTTAAGGCACAAAAATTGCATACAAAAGTGCATTTCCTGATTGTCGTGTGTAGGTTTTTGCAATTATTTGTATATATATATATATATATATATGTGTGTGTGTATATATGTATGCCTATTGCCTATTGCTTACTAGATAGGTAGGTAAGTAGAAACAGCTTAGAAACGTGACGTGTCAGGACAAATATGGCCGGAAGTGCACAATTGTGCAACTCAACAATTAGTAGCAGTAGTAGCAGTACTAGTAGTGGTAGTTGTAGTTAAAGGACTTGAGCAGCAGCAGCAGCAGCACCAGCACCAGCAGTAGATTTATTTTTTTTTTTCTTTTGTTCTTTTTTTTTTTTTTTTTTTTTAATAACTAAAACCGTATTACCTTTTTTGGTGAGTTGATCAAATTTCTATATATATATATAATATACATACATATGTGTGTGTGTGTGTGTTTGTTTTGTTTTTTCATTTTGGCATATTTCCACTATTATTATATATAATAAACATGCAAGCGGTCAGGATATAACGTACACTATGAACTTTAAAATGAAAGGTGCATTTGTCAGTCAGTCAATGTCTCAACGCAATCAGTTTAGTTAGTTAAAGTTAAAGTTGAACGCTTTCGAATGCATTTATGTAAACAGCAGAACAGACCAGAAATTGCATATGGGTTTCGCTTAACGCTTAACGCAAGGATTGTTAAATGAAATGGTTATTAACTTAAACCCGAGCATAACTGGTTGTTAAGGCTTATAGTTACTTTCTTATGGGTAGGGAACATAAGCAGGCAGGTGCAGCTTGTTTGGAAATAAAATTAAATATTTGCATATGTTTTAGATTTCAATTGACACTGACACTGAAATTATCCCAACAATTATGACCTGACGTTTTACATGGAATAAGAAACAACCCTCGCTTCGGTTTTGTTTTCTTAATTAGTGATAAAAGAATTTTTTGTTTTTTCTTTTTTTTTTGTTTTCTATCTTCATCCGGTTTTTTCGTTCATTTCCAACATCAATTAGCAAATGCGATGTTAATCATTAGTTTCATTTGTCTTTAATCAATTATTTATTGAATAAGCTCTCTATCGTTCACCCTCTCTTACCCTCTCTGTCTTTATATTAATTAAGTTATCCTTTGGTTTTTTTCATTATCATTTATTTATTTATTATATTAATTTTGTATTTACCTGCAGGAACATATCACCATCTAAGAGACCGTGCTCGAAAGCACCTAACTCTCGCGTACGATAGCCATCGTGATGTGTATGTATATGAGGTAAGATAGCACCAGCACCGTTACCACTATTCTCTTCTTTCTCTTTACGCATAACAACTAGAAGAAAAATTAAGCAAATTACAAATAAAATAAATCATTAAAGAAATCTTCATTTAAATTAATTGGAGAAGCGTGCAAATGTAGAAGTAAGCAAAAGAAGTAAGCGAGAGAAATGGATTCCAAACCGTTTGAAAAAATTTCGCATTTGGAAAATGAAAATGTTCTTCTTCTTTTTTGTTCTTTCATATCTCATTACTTTAAGACAGTTATATATATACCTATCAATATGTAATGTATATGCACATGTATGTATATATGTGCTGATATGAGGCACAAGTAATGATTTTTAACTCTTGGCTACTCTCACGTCATGAAGTATGGGTTACTTGAGGACGCATACACTTCAAAATGTATCCGTGCGACCGGTGGTGTTTTCGATACCGTTCGAGACCATTTAAAAAAAAAAGGTGTAACTTGTTCTAAATCGCTAAGGAGAGGTTTAAATGTTAATTAAGGAGTGATAGTAGTCTTGGATAGCGAGCAGTTCAAAATCTCTTCCTACGCCTACCCGTTTTTCGACAAACTTCCAAACCATTTAGAAGGTCAAACGTTAATAAAGAAATGGATACTTATTGAATAGGGTACAGTTCAAAATGTGTCCGTCCATTCGTCCGTCCGTGTTTCTGTTAAACTACTAAAATGTTGAAAAGGAAACCTATAACTTCTTCTAAATCACTGAGTAAACAATCAGATGCTAACATATACTCCAGACCATAGCATATTTTATATACATTAAACTTATCTGAAGTAATGATCATTCTTAGTTTATGGCCTTTGATGAAGTTCAAAGGTCAAACGATTCCCGCCACTTTGAACTTTATTCCTGAGAACAGGAACAATTAAAACAAAGACAAGAAACGAAAATTCCGAAACGCCAGAAATATTTCCCTGCCTCAATACAATGTGATGTTCGATGATAAGTTAATATATAATATGGGGTTCAAAGGATAAGTGAAGGTTCGAAATAAAACAAAATATTTTTATTACTCATATCCTTCAAAAACTTAAAAACAACTACGCCAGGACTTTTCTTTTCAGTTTTCGAAATTTTTCTAACACATTGGTTGATTTATTAATATTACACAGTCATCACAGTCTCAGCTAAAAAATTCTTGTTAAGGGCTTCTGTTATCTGGAAACCATCATCCTTAGAGTCATCCTTACAGTCTCTGAGAAGCTTCTGAACCTTTGATTGTCCGAATGTTTCATCGCTAGAAAGCTGCTTCAATATTTTGAACCCACCGACGCAATGAGTCCTGTTTTTCAAATAATAACTAAATTCTTTCTTTCCGGTAATATGTCGGCAGACGTTAACGCCCACATGGTTCACTTTGATATTTTAAATGCACTGATTTGTGAAATAAAAATTCTTTTAATTTTTTGAATACACATAGCTAATGGTATGAGAAGAATTGAAGCGTTAATTGAATCGATTGAATCTAATTATGGTCGTAATTCACTAATAAGTGAAATGAAACAAGGGCTTTCCAATTTCATCTTCGTCCCAGATCTCATTAGTGTTTTCCCTAAAATAATAAAGAAAAATTATGATTTATGGCAAAGCTTAACTAGTACTATGCCATGCATGCTTTGATGTCTGTTGAAAAAAAGGATTTTGCTATACTGGTATCCACAAATTCAATCGGTGAAGCTATGTTTTTCTAGCCCGCGATTATATATCGCTGTTTTCAAGACTTTTCAAAAAGACCAAGCACTAAACTGGTTTTCAAGCCACTCTTCAAATCGTCTCATCTCATAAATCTTTATACATAACTTTAAAAGTAAAAACCGAATCTATTCTAAAGGTATTCTATGCAGGCGTTACCTCGAAACTAAAAAACATAACTTGTTTTCAAAGCTTTTCTGCAAAGACCAACCACTCAATTGGTTTCCAAGCCACTCTTAGGAAGTCTTTATACAAAACTTTATACATAACCTCAAAAGTAAAAAATCGAATTTGTGCTAAAGCCCTTGTCTTCCGATGTTACCTCAAAGGTGAAAGACGAAACTTGTTTTGAAAGCCTTTCTGAAAAGACCAAGCATTAATTTGGTTTTCAAGCCACTCTTCCAAAGCATTCTTAGAAGGCTTTATGCATAACCTTAAAAGTAAACACCAAATCTGTTCTAAAGCCCTTGTATGCGGACGTTACCTCAAAAGCAAAAAATATAGCCTGCGTTGAAAAGCTTTCTAAAAAGACTAAGCACCAAGTTGGTTTTTAAAGCCCTTATTCTAAAGCATTCTTAGAAAACTTTATACATAACCTCAATAATAGAAACTAAACGGTTTTTGCAGCACCTGCTGAAAAGACTGTCGATTAAATTGTTTTTCAGGCTGTAGCTTCAGGTGAATTTGGTTTTAAATTATTGTTTAAAATAATAAATAATAAATTTTTGTTTATGGCTTCTAAGTGTTTTCATGCTTTACAACTATCCTCTCTATAACCGATTTATAACCGTTCTTAACCGCTTCGTTAAATTTTATAACAATAATTTAACATTTAAGCCGACTATTAATTTACGTAATAATATGAAAAATTTTATGCATTTTACAACTTTTTTCCAAATTAAACTTGGAAAAAAGCAAAAACGAAAAAAAAGAAAAAAAAAACAAATTACACAGAAAATATTTCCTGTCAATTTTTGCTTTTATTGAATGCATCATATATATATATATATGTACGTATATACTGCAAATGATTGTCTATACAACTGACAGTTATTAAATTGTTTTGCAACATTGTCTTTTTTATTACTACTATTATTATTTATATGTATTTTGCATCACAGTAACTATTTTTCAATAAACAAAAAAAACAAAATGAAATAAATAAATAAATAAATTACTATAGCAACAAAATGTTTTGTTAAACAAGATACTTTTCAAATATATATAGGTATGTGGGTAGAAACGTAATATATACACAGGTACTAAAGGTACCTGTGATATATCATAACAATATTGTATAGAATTTCTTGAATGGTGTCACCAAAAAAACTTCTAAAAAAAATATATTTTTTTTCTTTTCAATTATAAAAAAAAAAAAACTTGTTTACGTTGACCGCCTTTAGGAAAGAGGAACTTGTTGTTAATTGTCTTCATAGCATATACATAAGTAAAAATAAATTTCATTAAGGCATATCTTAAAATGGGCAGAAGGGAATCGAATATTTGACGAAATCATTCAATAAGTGATCAAAAACTGTCGACAGATGGGCTTCTAGTTTCTAAGCCTTAATTTTTGATGATATTTATTTACATTTTATACTTTTATGACTAGATTGAGGCAGATTGGGTTTGTCCCCATTTTGCCTCAAATGAGTCAATTTAAGTCAAACAAATCAGTTCTTACATATATATTAGCAGAGCCGGCTTTACCAGCCCTATGTCTTTTGCATGATACTTGAACTTGACAATTCAACCGAGAAGAAAAGGAGACGGACAAAGCGTCGGACAGACAGATAGACACGTTTAAATTGAATTAGAAAGTTATTCTTAATCAATCGGTGTAATAAAAAGCGGACTTTCCTCAAGTCCTCCCGGGAGTTGCACAATATGCTCTTGTCCCAGAAGTTTTGTATGGTATAACAATATTTTCGCCCACCGGCGAAAGCTGGGTCTATTCTATCAACACCCAAAAGGAAGCTTCAGAGACCCTATACTTGATTAGTGTGAAATTCTCCATTCGATTAAGCCATGTCTGTCCGCCTAGGTGGTGTGCGTTGTTGACACTCGCCTGATGCAAGAATTAAAATATCGACTTCAAATTAGTTAGAAACATTGGAGGTTTTTTCACATTCATCGGTATTGGACATGGGCGAAATTGGTCAGAGCGCACATCCGCGACAAAACGTAAACTGAACGTAATTCGTCTCTCAAAGAAACTGTAAAAGATAGAAGGATGAAATTTCCCACATGTACCTTACGGTGAATTGCAGAATTTATTTTATATTCGACGGCCATGCCCACAAAAAATAATAACTGATTAAATTTTTCCCTTTTTTTTTACCTTTTTGAGATTTTAAGCTGATTCGTCATAAGGTAAGCAACGCAGATTATTTAAAATTATTTCGTACATTCTTTGAATGAAAATTTATCATCCGCCCAAAAATGTGTTAGTTCGGACACACCACGTGGTCGATTAAGTTTTTTTCTCAGAATATCGTCAATAGGGGTATCACGCAAAATGATTTGAAGAGTAGAAGGCGACAAGCTAAGAATGTTAATTCGAAATGTAGCGCGATGTAGCGAATTAATTTTTTCATCACATTATCATTGCAATGGGTGTCAAATGAAAGGGCTTGCAGAGTATAATGCGATAAGCTAAGAATGTTAATGTCGGACTACACTTTTCTTAACAAGATCGTTTAGCGAATTAAAAGGGAAAGACGTACGACACACATTGCCATGGTAAAGGGCTTGCAAGATTCAGTCGCAGCCTAATATAAATTTCTTATTAGTTCAATGTGAAATTCATTGGATTTGATGTGATGAATCTTAAAACAGTTTCATTATTGAAGGATTCGATACTTATCGATAGCTGTAGACTGTTCTATTCGACAAATTGGTTCGATAATCGACAAGTAGACGATCTCTGTCTCCCTATGCTTTACCGCTGTATTACTTCGCAATTTTGTTTAGATTAACTTTAGCAGAGTGCCTAAGAACGTCCATCACATATATATAATGTCGTGTCACATATATGTGACACATGGCAGTCAAAGGGTTAATCAGTGAAAATATTATTCGCGCATTACCATTACAAGTAAATGTTTTTTTTTATTTATTTATTTAAGCCATTCAATAAATTCCACTACCTTCACCCCAAACAACGGGAAATTTATTGTGCTTGGCTTCGCAATTGTATGAAATATGTTTAAATTCTTGTACAAAAGAAATATAAACTATTTATTTTGAGGCACATAAAATTTTATTATAAACAAGAACTTTTGATTTTGGATCATTTATTTTTATGCATAATAATAATAATAATAATAAT